GGGGCTATTGAGGGTTATGGGGGGGGCGATGGGGTTAGTAGAGGGGGTTGTGGGGGCCGCAGGGGGGCTGAGACCTGCTGCTTGCTGCCCACGGCGGTGGGGGTCCCCTCCCCATGGCTGTGCTGGGGGGGGTCTCCCCTTAATACCTGTGCCCCGTGGTGTCAGTTCCTCCAGCGCGGAGCTGCCCCGGGGCGCTGTCCCCCCCCGCTGCGGCACCCTGAAGCGAACCTTCGCCTGCACCAACCTCCTGCTGCTCGGCCTGGCCGACGCCAAGGCCCCCGCCGACGGGGAGCCTGCCCCCGGACCCCGCTTCCACACCCCGTGCCCCGGGGGTAACGGCCAGCCCAGCACCTCCCCGGTGAGTGACACCCCCACCCCCTAAGGGGACACTTGGCTGGGGTGCCCCACTTCTCCCATGGTCACCCCCCTGCAGGCTCCTGTGCTGCTCGTTGGGCTGTGACATCTCCAGGGGACGCCCCACACCCATGGGGATGCCCCCAGGGGTCCCAGATTGCCCCAAGGATGCCCTGACCCTCCTCCTCCTCCTCCTCCATGGGGCTACAGGGAGGCCCAGAGTCCCATGGACACCCCCACACCCCGAGAGCCACCCCTGATCCCCCACATCCCTACGATGTGAGGCCCCGGTGGCTGTTTGAGGCCACAGAGTCAGTCCCACATCTCAAGGACACGTGGGGGTCATCTTGTAGAGTCCCCATGTGGGGCTGTGGGATCACCTGGGGGTTTGGAGCAGATAACCCTCCCCGAGCAGGGGGAACAGAGACCTCAGGGAGGCCCAGAGTCCCATGGACACCCCCACACCCCGAGAGCCACCCCTGATCCCCCACATCCCTACGATGTGAGGCCCCGGTGGCTGTTTGAGGCCACAGAGTCAGTCCCACATCTCAAGGACACGTGGGGGTCATCTTGTAGAGTCCCCATGTGGGGCTGTGGGATCACCTGGGGGTTTGGAACAGACAACCCTCCCCGAGCAGGGGGAACAGAGACCTCTCCCTCACACGGGGAGGGGTTTGAGTGTCACGGCCCCCCCACAAAAAGACACTGTGGAACACGGACCGTGTCCCGGCGCAGTTACGGCAGGAGCACTCCTCCCCCCGCCTCGCCTGTCCCGCTGAAGACGATGACCCGTGGCACACCATGAGCAGGAGGAGCACCCAGCCCCTGTGAGCCACCGCCGCGTGTCCCACCGGGGCGCCCCAAGTGCCTCTACAAATACAGCCTGGCTCCTGCCACCCGGCCTCTGTGCCTCTGTCACCCCTCTCCTGTCCCTGGAGTCTTAATTTATCTTGCGTTAAGTGTGGGTGATACTTTGTCTCCACAGTGATAGCACCAGTGAGATGTCCAGCCCTTTGGAGAGCCATCAGGGCCTCCTCGTTCCTCAGCTGTAAATGAGAGGGTTGAGGAAAGAGCCGCTTTGCTCTTTCTTTGGCCCAAGATAGGGTCAACTGGAGGTGGAGCAGGAGGTAAATGTGCTCATTAAAAGCTTGGTGTCTTGGGGAAAGAAGAACTGGGAGCTCCTCGGGTAGTGGAACACCATGGCCCTTCCTCTTCCCACCCTGATGTGCCTCCAGCAGGAGCTGCTGTTTCCAGCACTGGATGCAAGAACTCAACCAAGAAGCCGCCCTGTGCAGCCCCTGGTCCTCAACCCTGGGCGTGCCATCCTTCACTTTGGCCACCTGGGTCTGCTCTGGGCCAGGTCCCGGTTCCTCCCACCCTCAGGGTCTCCCTTTGTGTCATGGTCAGTGGAAAGGACAATGAGGTTATGGAGCCACCTCAGCACCTCTGTCAGGAAGGTGAAAGAACTTCAGGAAGAATTTGTTTGGTGTGAGGGTGATGAGAGCCTGGCCCAGGTTGGCCCGAGCAGCTGTGGCTGCCCCATCCCTGGAGGGGTTCAAGGGCAGGTTGGAGGGGGCTTGGAGCAACGTGGTGTGGTGGGAGGTGTCCCTGCCCAGGGCAGGGGGTGGCACTGGATGGTCTGAAGCCTTCCAACCCAAACCAGTCTGTGATTCTATGACTGGAGGAAAACAAGTTTTGCCCCATCATCAAAGCAGTCCCGGGGCAGGTCCCGGCCACCCAGTGTCACTTCAGTCACACAGAATCACAGAATCTTCTAGGTTGGAAGGGACCTTAAAGATCATCTTGTCCAACTGTCAACCTCACTGACAAGAATAGACACCCACACAACAAACAAGGATCATCACTAAACCACACCTCCCAGCACTACATCAACCCGTCTTTTGAACACCTCCAGGGATGGGGCCTCAACCACCTCCCTGGGCAGCCCATTCCAATGTCCTGTCCTCAGGAAAAAGCGTGGACTGAGTCCTTTGGGAAGGCACGGCAGGCGGAGGAGGAGATGGGGACAGTCAGCAGGGAGTTACGGTGCCTGAAAAGGGCGTTTGCTCTCTGTGCCGAGCTGGCGAGGTTTGGTCTGGGCAGAGGAGGATGATGATGTCCCCCTTGCCTTCAGTGAGGCCTTCAGCGCCACAAAGGTGCTTGTTTCCAGGACGGCAGCTCACGGAAATTACTAGGCATGTTTAGTTTGGAGAAGAGGAGGCTGAGGGGAGACCTCATTGCCCTCTACAACTACCTGAAAGGAGGGTGTAGAGAGGCAGGTGTTGGCCTCTTCTCCCAAAGGACGAACGACAAGACCAGAGGAAATGGTCTGAAGTTGGGGCAGGGGAGATTTAGATTAGATATTAGAAAGAACTACTTTACTGAGAGAGTGGTCAGGCCCTGGAACAGCCTGCCCAGGGAGGTGGTGGAGTCACCATCCCTGGAGGGATTTAAGAAACGTATAGACATGGCTCTTCAGGGCATGCTCTAGTGCCCAAGGTTATTGGTTTATGGCGAGGTGTTGAGTGTGGGGTTTAGTTGGTGGGTGCGGTGTTTTTGGTGGGCGTTTGGTGTGGTGTGGTTTTGTGGTTGGACTCGATGATCTCAGAGGTCCCTTCCAACCACTAAGATTCTGTGATTCTGTGAAATGCTGCTGCCTCGGCCGAATGGCTGATGCTCTTTATAAACAATGACAGAAACAGGAACTTACGTGGAATAACTGGACCCCTCGGTCTCTCCATGGCTCAGAGATGAAGGTGTGACGGCCGGTACAATCCCCGTGCCCCCGTTTGTGCATCTATAATGAGGTGTGTCAATCCCAGTTCACGTGAGTTTCTGACACAACACGCTGGAGCTCGGCCAGCGCTTGAAAGCTCTTTGTCACTGGGCAAAGTGTTTTATACGTTTATTCTCCAAATAGAGAGGGACAAGCCGATAACGTAATTTCAGGCAGCAGCTCCCCTGTTGGGCCAGAAGAGCTGGATGGCAACGTTTGTGTTGTCACCTGTGGGTTTCGTGTGGTGCAGATACAACGTTGGAACCCACACCGAGTGTGTGGTGCC